GAGGAAAAAGAAAGTAATCGTTGATAGTTGAGAATCTCTGGCATCCGTGACTCAAGCTCATGGCACCGGTTACCACGAAATACTGCAAGGAACACGTTTAAGGATAGCATAGCCCATAGATTTTACGATTCCACGTTCCAAGTAATGCACGGAAGTACCAATCGATACTTCCATAATTGCTGACAAACACGAACAAGTACTATAAAACTGATGAAAAAGGAAAGAAAACTATATCTGGATGGACTTTCGTGGAATAAGTTGTTGTACAATGAATCGCGATATTTAACGCAGAATCATTTTCAAGTAATAAAGATACACCGTTCAGGTGTAAAAATTGCTCACAATTTGCAAATTCTTTGTCTTTAGCGCCAAATAGTCAATTGACTTGCACTGATTTGTATGATACTTATAACGCATAACAAAAATAGTCCTCGCAAATACAAAGATCAAGAAAAATTGAAATATATAATATTACTATATATAATATATAATATAATATTACGAGACTTGTATTAATTTTTTATAATGAATTATTATAATTTATATAATTACTGTGAATAATTAAGTACTTTTTGTTATATACTTAGATCTCCATTGTAAATCTTTTTTCTATTTTGTGTGATTCTCGCTATATCTATTTGTAAAAATAAAAATAATGTTGTAGACTTTCCGAAAGATATGTGCGATTGTGTATGAAAGCTAATTTTTTGAAAGTCGTCGTTTTTGTGTGATAAAAAAAAGTGGCTACAATTAATAGCGTCTAGCTTTATATTGTATTACGTAGTACTTTATTTTTCCAGTCATTCACTGAATAATCTTCTGTCATGCTATATTGTGCGATTTTTTTAAGGTTAGTTTCCAATATTTTCCAAAATTTATATGATTGCTGCACAGATCCTGTACAAATAACAATTAGAACAATTTAGAACACTATACGGGTTACCTAAACAAGAATTTTATATTTTTATACACATATTTTTTAAATCCTAAATTAATAATATTACATTGATGGGTAAATTTCGAAATAAAATAAAAACTAGAACTAAAACGCACATTTACGAATATATAAACATCAAATAAAAGAATTAATTTAAATTTTCAACTCATAATACCAACCAAAGATTAAATTAAAAAACAAACGCTACAAAGGAAGTAAAAAAATGTTTAGTAGTTACCACAATCGAGTTTTAAGCGTTTATGTTATATGCATTTCCGGTTGACAGTGGTAATCGCAAAAAATACAGCAATAATCATCAAGATAAAAATAACGCTTACCGAGCGGTGTTTGCGCGCGAGCCAATCGAACATAATGTCAGAAATCGATCGCTCGAACGAAAAAGGTCGTAAGATCAACGGAACCCGAAATCTGGCCAGCTAAATTACATACGTCATGTAGGTCAGTGAATCGTAACTCGAAATAATCGTGCATAAGTTACACGTTATGCTATAGTGGTCACGCATTATGCATGCATAACGAAAAAAAAAAAAGAAAAGAAGCGGTTAAGACGTCGTATATCTTTGTCTACTTAAAACCTTCAAACATCAACCTTGTAATATTCGTGCCTAATAAAAATTCGTTAATTGTTACTATTATTATTTTATTTATTATTTATTAACCCATTATAAGTAGACTAGGGATTTTGATGCATTTATAAGAAATTTAAAATTGCAAAAATGCATATAATATCCAAAGCAGATACAGTATTCATTGTAATATTCAGTACTATATTTATTTATTACAGGTACTTTATTTATTACAGGTATGATAGCTATTATAATGTTATAATATTCAGCATTTCTATTAAAATTTCATTTATTTAATTAAGTTTTTGAAAATATTAGTTTTTACAAAAATAGGTACTCTAGTTATGCAAAGACAAAACAAAATCATTGCTGAAATACATATATCTTATTGCGTACTTTATAATTTCGTCATGATCGTTCAAAAGTTTTTTCTATTATCTTTATGATATTCGATATCGTTTACAGATTCGAAGCGTGAAGATTTACATACCGAGATTAAAGAGCGACGCCATGATAAGCGTTTTTATCGCGAAACGTATCCACTTGGAGAAATACATATGTCGTGATACATCAACGCAACAATCAAACCTTTACGCTAGCTGCGCTTCATTGATTCGTTGAATTTCTTCTTGTCTTTACACTATCGCTATATACATGTATATTAATATTAATTTTGCTTTAACTTCGACTTACTTATATTCGATAACATTTAAGAAAGAATGAATGAGTAAGTACGAACTGTCACACTGAACACGAGTCTCTACTGCGATTAAAAACAATTCGACCGAACTATCGATTGTAACGCAGCGCGCAAGTAACGGTTCGATCATCGATACTTGTTTCTTGAATTTTTACAGACAATAAAAAATTCCTTTGAATAACAATATCTCAAAAGATGTAACAATTATTATATGATACTTAAAACATGATCATAGTTGAAGGACTTACGTAAGTAGGTTTAGGTGACGAGGTGTCGAAGTGAGACAGGTGTACTTAGTTTCGACTCAGCTGGTCCAGGTTCTATATGGAATTAATACACACTGTTTTAGACACTGATTTGGGCAACTAAGATGAGAGTACACACAAATAGCACCACAGCGTGGAACACAATTCACAAGCAACACAAAATCGTCATATCACGTTGGAGTTCGCCGGGCGACTGTGGCGAACTGCAACGCGGTCGGAGTTGTTCGACAAACTTCGCGCACTTTCGAACCGCGCGGCAAACTTCGCGCCTTTCCGCGTATTCTGCATTCTACACGAGTGATTGGTCAGCACATTCGCGCCTAATTTAAACGTAAACAATGCAAAAACAGTAATTGTATTAATTTGCATTTGCTTTTTGCAAATACAATTTTACTAATTTTAATATTATATTTCGGACTAGTCTAAACACTATATATGTGTGATGTATGGCATTTCATATAGTCCTTTAATAATAAAAAGAAACTTAATTGAATAATGCAGATTTTATAAAACTGAAATTTTTCCTTCAATTTCTGCTATTGTTTAAGAGATACATTGTTTCATAACATAAATCATTGTAATAATAAATACGCATGCTGACTAATGCTAATTGAATGCATGTATTACTATTACAGGCTTACTGTTTACGTAGGCGTTAATGGAACGTGCATAGAAAGTCATAGGAGAAAAAATGCGGTACGTAGGTAAAGCTCGCTCTAAAGTTCCTATCTTTTTTGGAGAAATTGCTTTACTAATGCAATAAGATTTCCTTATATCAGGCACTGATTAATTTCAAATTACTTAATGAGTTATTTTAACAAAACTAGATATGCAATTATAGTAATATAACAAGAACTTCTTAAAATCCACGTCTGTGTTTCTTTATATGCATTTCCTTTAATCAAGCGACTGCATTATTTAGAAAATATGTAAACTACTTTTAAATGAAATTTCAACTGAGAATCTAGTTTATTATAGCAGAGGTTTCGTTCACAATTGCAATGTTAACATTGATAGCACAAAAGCCAAGGATCGAGCTAATCTTTCTCAGTCATCGGTTATCGCGTCGACGAATAGGAAAAAAGGAAAGTATACTAACGCAAATAAATATGATATCGTGTTTCTCTGGACGACCAGCGTATGTATTTTCATCAATGACGATAACGTAACATCTCTGATTCTACGTAATAAAAAGATTGCATCGCTAATAATAAAAAGCAAATAAGAAAATGTACCTTGAAAGAGAGAAGCTGTTTGCAGCCAGTAACAACAGCATAAAATATTTCAAAACCTTCCATCTTCTTTTGCCGGCAAGGACTTATTACAACGCTCAACAAGAAAATAATAATGTTCTGTCACCATTACCTTTAATAGCAGATTCACTCTGGGCAAAGGAGTAATAAAGATATACATCTCAAACAACGTTCTTTGTCCTATCATAATTTAAAGGATAGAGGAAACACTAGCTTTATCTCTTGTACTCTACCTGGATTGAATTCTCCACGGATGATATCGAATCAATGTGATAAGATACACTTTATCAAAAAGTAGTTTGCTTTTGACGCAATATTTACGATGACCCGATTGCAGATAAATAATAGCATGTCGCGAAAAATGAGATAAATTGATTTTTGTTGTACTAGAATCGTCCATTAAAAAGCTGGAGTATCTATAAAGTAATTTTTATATTAGAATTGTTCGAATATAATCTTATTCTTAATTTGATAATAAAGCAAATATTAAAGATTATGATCTTACTTTTTAATATAGTAAGACATATAATAGACGCAAGGTGCAACCGTGAATCTGTTGAAACCATTCGGACTCTATTATAGTATAATTCGTACATTGTACGTACGAATAATGAAGACGCCTTTCAACAGCAACCGACCAAATGAAACCGTCGATTGAAAGTAATTATCAAATGATCCCGATGCGGAATGATATAGAAAGTTCATTGTACAGGAACCTTTTATCATCTAACAGGCCAATCGACCTAATAACGTGACTCGAATAACCAATTGATAATCGTAATATACGTTATTTATTTGTCAACTGTTACGTATTATATAGAGAGAAACATTGTTATAAATTTACATGTAAATTTATGTTTCCTTCTTTCTTTTAAATTAATAATTTGGTAGATTGTTAAAAGGCGTCGTGGTATATTCTCTATCTCGTTGACACATATAGCGAATGTTTTTGATGCATCCTAGTTGAAATCGAATTACAATGTGTCGTGATCCATCTTAATAGAACAATTCGCGATGCGACCTATTTACATTGTCTTGACTCAAGTACATGCAGCTGCACTAAACCGCAATTTCTATTGTTGCTTACACATCGAAGGATATCATAGTAACTGAAAAAACAAAAGAAAATGTTGCAAAAGAAAAAATATAACATATTAATGGCTAATTACAAACAGAATTATTTATTGCGAGTTTTAAACTTTTGAAGAAAGAAAGAATTCGATAATAGTAATCGATCAACGAAATTTTAAGGCTTTCTTCTTTAATAACGGACACTTTCTTTACAAAAAAAGCTTATTTTTCTATATGGTAATTGAATAATTATACTAAATAACGTGCCTTAATAAGTACCAATACTTGGATAAATTTTCATGGATGCATGAAACACGATGATATCGGTCGTGGTGCAGTAATTGTTATGTAACACCGGTAGAAATTGACACTCAACTCGTGTATGCATGAATACGTGACTGTGTCGACGCATGAACGACTGGCTATGCAAATTTAACTGCAGGAAGATCCGTTTGTTAAATGTTCCGAAGGTCTTACGTTAACCTACGTAAATTTTGTAACCTCCATGGCATGAATATCTAGAAAAGATGCAACTTTCGTGTAACAATTCTAATTTCAAATTAAAGTAATAAATATTTATTTTTCTGATTGTTATACTATGTATAGTTTATGTTTATTTATTTTGAATCCGTCTTTTTTTACTTACCTTATATTAAAACTCAAAATGATGAATTTTTCTAAAATAATTGCCTTTGACATAATTTAAAATTTTTAATTCGAAATTATGTATAAAATCTACCTGTAGATGTCACTGTAGTTTAGTACCGAGCCTCATAAAATAAGAAATCATTAACATATTTGCTAAAAGCATTAAAAAATTTGGAAAAATTTATAATACTTCAATTATTGCTTAATGCTAAAAAAAATCATCACAATAATTTCAACCTACTAGTTAGTTAAGCCAAATAGTTCTTGAGAGAATTCTGTATTCCATTGCATTTTCAAGAAACGCTCGCTAGGGGAAATCTATTGAGTCAAAAAGTATTATGATGAAAGAGAAGAAAAGGTCTCATTTTATGAGACAGACAGAGTTATGTATATGTATAAGTTGAGCAGTTTTAGCGTATTTATACAATTAGTGCAGTCACTGGCTGTAACAAATGCACGTGGGTGACGACCAGTTAAGCGGGATAAGTCAAATGTTTTTCCAGGGATATGTCAATAAAACAGTAAATCACAGCATGGAATTTGTAGGTGAGTACTAAATTAGGTGGGGGTAGTTATAAAATTCCGGCCGCCCTACGTTAATGTTAATTTTCGCCAAAGTTCATCTACATTATGGGTTAATACTTTAATTACAGCCAGCAACGGTATCCACACTCAGAAAATAGAAACAAATTTACAAATCTTCAAATGAGAAACATTTGAGTACTCATCTGTGCGAGCCAGTCAGGTGATGGAAACAATATAGTGTCAAAGTAACCTGTTAAATATGCTCAAAATGCTTAAGTTTACATACGTATAATTTTTGAATTGCTTGATTGCTAAAATTAAGACTTCCATTTTCAGATTCTGCGCATTGAAAACTATTAAATAGCAATAAAAAAAGCAATCATTCTGTGTCCACTAAGGCTAACTTTAACATTTAATTTTGAACGTTAACCTTACACACATTTGTACACGAATAATTTTATTCTAATATTTCGAGAATATTATTTTAACAATTTCGCAAAGATGGAGAACTGGATAAACGAAAATTTATCAAAAATTTTAGATTTTCCAGTACCAAAGGAGATGGCCGAGTAAGAAAATTATAACAAAATATAGTGATATTCACTTGATGTGAATAATGATAATATTGACATATTTTTTCAGATTCCTAATGAAAATAGAAAACGAAAGGGATTTGGATGATTACTTGCAATCTTTTTTAGATTATACTAATGGAAAGCACAGACAATTTATTTCAGACTTCAAAAAACGACAAGGTTTATATTCTTATCATTCATGTAAATTATTGAATTATTGAATGCCTTTATCATTTCGGAACATTATTTCAGCTTCAAGCAAAGATCAAGCCAAATATAAGAAAGAAAATGATATGAATAATGGAAAGAAAAAGCAAAATGAAAAAAAGAAAGGAAAAGTGAAAGGAAAAGAGACCAAAGAAAATAAACAGGTATATGTCAACAATATTGTTTGAAATTTTTATTTCAGATTTATAATGCTACAGTAATACTACATGTTATTTATTTAGGTGCAAGAAACTATAAAAGTAGATAAAGTGGAAAGAAAGAAAACTAAATTTGTCAATATATATTCTCAAGATGGCAATGAGAGAGAAATTTTATTAAAAGGTATTTTATTCATTAAGAAATTATTAACTATTAAGGGACTATAATATAGAAATTGACATAAAAATATTTTATTAGGTAGATACAAGTGTAATTGCGAAGCAAAGAGACATGCATTGATTAGTAACTGCCTCAATTGTGGTAGAATAGTCTGTGCTCAAGAAGGAGCTGGTCCTTGCTTTTTCTGCGAAGAACTTGTATGTTCTGAGAAAGAGCTAACTATTCTTTCTAGTAATACTAAACAAGCTGATCAGTTATACAATAAATTGATGAACCAAAAAGCTAACAAAAATCTGGAAGAATCAATAAAACAAAGAGATAGACTTCTCGAATATGATCGTGATGGGTATGCATTACATGTAATCTTGTATAATTTTTTCATGCAAGAATAAGGATATAGCTGTACTAATTTACAGAATACAATGCACGAAAGTAATTGATGATGAATGTGACTATTATCAATCAAACAATACATGGTTAACAGAAAAGCAACGAGAAAAGTTACAGAAGTTGGAAGAAGAAATGCATGAAAGGAAGCATATGTCTCATTTAAAGAGAAAAATCTACGCAACTATTGATTTCACAGGAAGAGAGATAATTGAAGAGAAACAAACTGAGGATTTTGAAGAATTCAATGAAGAACATTTGCAAGATATATCTGAATCATTTAGTGGAATAGAAAATAGTAATAGTTGCCCAAATATAGAATTTACTCGCCCCAAGGTAAAAATATTGTTTTAACAAATAATTAAATATATTCATATCGTTATTATATGAAAGAAACATAATGTTGAATTCTAATTGTACAGTATGTGAAATCACATGAATTGGAATTGCGAACATCAAAAATGAACATTTCTTCTAACATACGAAATATTATTCAAGACAAAGAGTATTTAGAAATGTCTGATCTTGGCTTATGTTTGAGCATGCACCAACCTTATGCATCTTTATTAGTGGCTGGAATAAAAGTGTAAGTTTATAATATTTTAAACAGATTAATTCCAATATGAATATTTATATAAGAAAATTATATAATTTTATAAGAATACCTAACGCTTTATTACTATTATAGTCATGAAGGTCGTACATGGTACTCATCACATAGAGGAAGATTATGGATTGCTGCAGCATCTAAAATACCAACTAAGGAGGAAATTTCAACTGTAGAACAATATTACCGTGTTTTAAAAAATGGTTAGTATAAATTAGATTTATGAGTAAAAAGTAAAATTTCATCTTAATTATATTGTAGTTTACACATTATCACAAATTGCATTGATGTTTTACAGAAAAAATAATGTTTCCTGAAGTTTATTCAACTGGTTGTCTATTAGGATGTGTAACAGTTACTGATGTTTTACCACAAGAGGAATATAGGAAATCTTACCCAGATGGAGAAAGTGATAGTCCTTATGTTTTTATATGCGAAAATTTTGTTGCATTGCCAATTAAATTTCCGATACAAGGAAAGCATAAAATTTGTAAGTATTTCTTCATTTTTAGTGGTGCACTTTTTATTAAAAATAATTCTTATGATCCTTATTATAATTTATAGATAAATTAGACCAGAAAATCCATCATGCTGCTTTAAAGATGCTAGATAAATGTACAAAAAATATAAGTTAAATATACAATAAGTTAAATATACAAAGTAGTATATTTGTTATTGTTCCAGATGTAGCTTTTTTTTAAAGAATTCCTCTGGTTCACTACTTTTGCACTTTGCATCCAACCTCAATCTTTTTATTATTACGTTATTTCTTCTTTCTCTTCTTCTATACCTTCAGAACCTTTTTTACTTTATTTATCATTTTTATTTCTCTTTTTCTTATTTCTCCTCTCTTCTCATCGAAAGTTACCTCAATTTTCTTCTACATTTCTACTAGCCTTTGCTTCATTCTATATCTATTATTGTTAAAAACAAGCAGTGCATTATTCATATTTGTTTTAATATTAAGTTTATATGTATATAATATGAATATTACATAACTTTAATATTTTAGTACTAAAAAATAAAGTACATATTTTGCATAATCTATATTAAATATTATTTATTATCTGTACATAATATAATATATTACAATGTATACACATAGCTTGCAATATATTACAATAACTATTACAAGACATACATATATCCTTTTTACATTAACTGTTTATTTTATTATTCACTTATTCCTTTTACGTGCATTCAATGAAAAAATATTAGCCGTTTTCTCTTATTTCCGTTAAAATATCAGACTTTAGTAAACGTTAAAAGTAGATTTCAGTAAAGTTATTTTTACATTTAAACAGTTTATATATTTGAAGTACAAAGAGAACATTTTTTATCGAAACATGACGTTATAAAGTTTATTGTTCTGTTATAAATTTTGGAATTCATAGTAAAAATATTTTGAAGATAATAGCAAGGAATTTCTCTTTTATAAATCCTGGCAAAGCGTTTATAATTAAAAATAAGAAACTTACAAATTAAATGATTAAAAGTTTTAAAACATCTATAATATCATCTTGCAATAATTACTATGTTAAGAAGACTCTAGAATATGTAATTTATCTTTTGTAACAATTTCAACAAATTAAAAGTATCGAAAACAAAACTTTGTACTTACAAACTAATCCAAAGTTAAATAAAGCTATAACAACATATTATATGCAATGAAAGAGCACTCAAATTATCATAAATAGATTGATATGTAAAGACTATAATATGTATGGCTTAAACTAAATTTGTATTGTTTCAAATAAGGTACAAATAAAATTAAAAAAAAAATGTATATTTAATATTACATATTTTATGAATAGCATTGCAGCATTGGGAATGTATAAATAAATATCAAACTACGAAAAACAAATTTCAGTATAAAATTAACAATTGCACAATACGATTTTTAAATTGAAGTAATCAAAACGTATCAACAAGATATATAAATTCAAATTACATGTTTATTAATCTGTATACTGTGCGATCTATCAATTATCATTTAATTTGCATTTGTTTTCTAAAGGTACACAAATATCATAATTTGACAACAATATTGTCCAGTTAAAACAAAAGGTGATGTAAACAATAAATAACATTACCATTATAAAATGGAAGATGTTATTAATATTTTTCCTTTTCTCAATTCAGATAATACAACAACATGCAATATCTCTAATTGCTTCACAATCAAAAAATAACTTTTACAATTAGGTTTAATAATATTCTTAATTTTGTGATATTAATTTAAATAAAAATTAATAAAGAAAAACAATGCATTATATATAAAATATAATTTGATGTCGTATATATCTGTGTGTGTACATATGTATTGTACAATACACGTTAATATTTCTTTTTTAAATAACAATCCAATATATTCAACAGATAATTTTTTTGTTAAAATACGAGTTTTCTCTATGGATATAATATATACGTATACGCTATAGAATAAATAGTTTTTACTTGATTTTAATAGTTTTTACTACACAAATTGATAATAATTTTTTACTAGATTAATTTTTAATATCAAAAATCAAGTCAAATGTATACATAAATAGATTTTTAATAAAAGTGATTTAATCAAATAGATAAAATTTTATAAAATAAAGTCATATATTAAAATAAAACGAATAAAAGAAATAATTTTATACAGCAAATAAAGGAAAGTCCAGAAAAGCAAATTTTGTTTAATTTAAATTAACAGAAAATAATATCCACACACAAATTAATGATAGGCCACCAGTGTATGTACTATCGTAATACTAATGTACCCATATCACAAATCTATTCAAACAAGTTTAAATAAATAATTTCATATTTCTCCCCTCCCATGTTATACGCGCTTTATGAAATTCTAAATTCGATTAATATAATAATACCCTTTAAAATTTGTTCTCTAAATAAAGCAATCAAGAAAAATTGTTACTACTTATATCAGCTATTTTCAGCATTATAAGTACTAACATCTTTTTCAAACATTTCAAATATTCTTCTTAGAACAATATCGAGCATCCAGGAAATGTATACTTACCACTTCCTTTTTTTAAATTTCAGACACATGGAAAACAATGGAATATGATATTTGTTTCGAACAGTTAAATATCTAAATATAAGTAGGTGAATCTTTTAAACTGATACCACAAGCATCACAGACCGAGACATTTTTCTCGTTTACTAATGTACATCGTGGGCATTCTTTTCCACCACTTGCTAATGGTTTATCCTCGTTTCCTTTATGCCTAGACTTTCCACACATCTCACAAATTTCCTTTGATGAACAATTAAGATAGGTGCAAGTAGCACAATTCCAATTCACAGCTTTGTCTTCTGTTTCATTTCCTTTTTCCGAGTGAGAAAGCTCTAAGTTCTTCAACGTATCCGCGATTTTTACAATTTGATCCGCCGATCGATGTGAACGTTGAATTGGAAGCGTCTGACTACCATGTCTTTTTTCATTACTATGAGGAGATGATTGACTTTCTGAAGATGCATCGTGATATCTATTCGAGTCCATTAAATCGAAGGAAGAAGACTTCTTTTTGAAGGGTAATGTATCGTGATGATGATGTCGACCATTTGTCATAGACGAATCGATGTCATTCACATCGGTTCTTCCACTCCTCCTTTTTTCAGAGCGATGTATACTATGTTTCTCATCGTTATCATTTTGTTTAAAAGATTTTTGTTTACTCAATCGGGACTCGCATTCCCGTTTGTGTAAAATATCTTCTCGATTACCAAGATCTTTAGAATAGCCTAAACTTTCTAAATTCCTATACACAAAGTCCCAAGAGTCATAATTGTTCCTTTCACCGACCGATTTTGCAGATTTTCTATCGATTTTTCCGTAATCATAATGGTTTCCATCACTAGATTGTCTTCTATAAAAATCTACTTCCTCCAAATCTGATATTCTATGAGATATCTTTCGATTATGTAATTTATCATAATTTGCAACTGAAACCGGCATATCAACTTCAATTAGTCTACCCGTTGGTACTCTTGTATATCCTGGCATTGTAGTATAATACGGATTGACTCCACTCATATATTTATTACCATGTGGTAAACATCCATAGGCACTACATCGATTTCCAAAACTGTGATCTACTGGTTGGAAATATTTGTAAGTTCCAGGTATTGAATTTGTATCTTCGATATACCTGTATTCTGAATGACAAGCAGGCATTGATGTATTGTAACTGGGAGGCATAATGTGATAAGGAATTGATGGTGATACCGCATCCACACATGTAGTTTGCGGATAATGATAATCCCTATAATTCTCCGCTTTTGTTCGAGTTTGATGCATTTTCTCAAGAAAACGATAGTTCAATGCTCTGATTGCTTGTTCTGGTGTACCAACATGATTTTCCCGAAATTCTAATACTTCTAACCACGAGATACTATAATTCTGTGAAACATTCTCCCATATTTGCTTCAAGATCTACGTTTGAAATTGTATCTCTTTTATTTAAGTGTATCTTTATAGAAAAAGTACTATAAAAGTATCATAATAAATATTCTTACCTGACATTCAACAAAAGCAACTATTGCATCTCTGCTTACACAAGATACTTTATCAGGGTCAATAGGACCCTCCAAAGTAAGCACTCCTAACCCTGTATGTTTGTATCCCATTTGTTCAAACATTAATTCTGCTCCTATTAAATTTGCTTCTACTTCATGCTTATAATATCCACTATAAGTCTAATATAAAGAAAAGATTAATTAATTGAATATTTTTATAGCTTGAAAAAAGCAATGTAAAAGATTACAAAAATATTAACCTTTAATGTTCTATATTCTCTTCTCCAAGGCTGAGCCAAAAGATTTGCAGCATATAAAGAAATAGCACTCCAGGCAGTTGCAGCTCTATATCCACTAAAATCTTGCAATGTGGCTGCTGATCTGTGTAATATATCTGCGGTTTCTTGAAATACATATTTATTTTCATTTGGAACAAGGCAAAGATTCTCTTTAATAAAACCTAAAATACAGAAAATTGTTAAATATTAAGCATTCAATATTGTTACATATTTATTATATATTTACCTTCAAGTTTATGACGCTGTTGTAATTTTAAAGGACTATCGTCTGTTTGTAGATAAACCAAATGGCTTTGCTCTAATTTCATGCTAATTTCTTGCAATCTATCCTTGCCTCTTATTATTAAGTCATTTGCCATTTTTATCACTGCAACAATATACATTTCTGGTCACTTGTATTTTCTATATGTCTAAAATTGTCCAAGTTATTTCACAGAAACAAAACATTTAGAAAAAAAACAGTATTTACATGTTTAATGTAGGATACTTAAAAATTTGAATAGTTAAATAGTAATATTATTCAAAATGAAACACAAATAAAATATCAGTGAAAAACAGAAACGAGCTTAAAGATGTCATTCAGAAATAAACATCTTTCACACCTATTACAAAACCGTCTAGAAATGCAGTTTTAGATCAAATTCTTGATTCAAACTATGGCTAGCTCCAACCTAAAAATAAATCCTATATTTAGAAGCACCGCTACAGTGTTTACTCCAGGAGCTACCATAATATATTCTCTATTTGGAAAATGCTCCATCTCATGTAGAAACGTTCATCGAGCTTTTCATTATATATCAAAAACATATTATTCCACTTCATAAACAATAAATATTTTTCTTTACAACTTTTTTCTTGGTTATGTTCAAGTTACATCAAGAGCATGAAACAAACATATGCTAGAAAGATAGTCGTCGATACAAAAGCTGCGTATAGAGTTATCACATAGTTATCACCACGATTCATGTTCATTTCGGACAGCTATAGTTGATCTCACAGATGACAAAGTCATAGTTAATGTTATTGTTTACATTAAATTTACATCCAAATTTTTTTATACTATAATTTAGTGGATAATTATAATAACAATAAAAAACACAAAAAATGATGACAGATATGGAAGAGGCAGAAGCAAGAGAACTTCAATTACAAATTGAGAAACGCGATAGGTAACTTTCTGCGTTTCACATTATTTATTTATTTTACAATTGTTTGTAAACATAGTCACACTTTACAATTACATATAAAATTCATTTATTTATAATTGTACACAACTATGAGTATCGATAATATACATCACATTTTCCCAAAATTTTATAGTAAAGAAGTTGAATTCGACTTCAAAGTAGCTGTGAAGAAATTAGCAGAAGGATTTTTAAATCAATATCAAGAACAGTGGGAACAAACTGAGAAAAAACTTGATGAAGTAAAGTAAGTAGAAGTAAAAAATATAAATATTTCCTGATTTTATGTTTCTTGCTATTTTTGTTTAGAAATAAGCAAGAGACTTTGCTCGATCAGATGCAAACTGAGAACAAAAAACTTCAAAATGTTTTTGATGATGTCAAGCTAAATGAAACGGCAAGTATATTGATATTGAAATATAAATTTCATTTTACAGAAATTTTTGATATGAAAGAATGGCCTAAAACATAAAATATATAAGAGAAATATGTATTATAGTTTCAGATGATTAAAGTTAGTCAAGGTAAATTAATATCAATGAAAAAAGAAATGGTTTCCATTCATGAGAGGACATTCAGATTAAAAGTGAGTTATAATATTTATGTACTATACATATATATTTCTAATTTACTATTATTTATGTAATGTACACATTATATTTGTGTAGAAACGAGCGTCAAGGTTGCAGCAGATAATACAGAAGGAGGCCTTAAATAGAGAGCAACAACGAGAGCAAGAACTTCGTCGGGAACAAGAATTAATTGGTAAACCAGCGATAAGTTAAGAAAAACCATTATCTAGAGAGATAATTAATATCAGCAAAGACACATAAACATATAAGAACAGATTGTACTTATACACACATCATGCTAAAATGTGTGTCTAAACTTAGTCATTGATTTTATTGTGTAATATAACTTATACATACATATTTTTATACATTACCAAACAATTTCCCATTGTCCATTAGAGTCACATTTCTCAGTACCTTTACATAAATAATTAAATGTTGTTCTAGTAGGAAAACCAATGATTTCCCTATCTTCTTGTATTCTAAATGTGTATGTCGATTCATATGTTCCTATAAAATATCTACAAAAGGATGCAAATAATACATTATTCCTATTCATAATATAAAACATGAGATATATTATTGTTAATTCTTACCTAGCGTGGGAACTAATTATTTGGTCAATAATTGCAACTCCGCCGTCTTTAAATTTACTTAATACGTAATCTGATGAAATAAATCTAAGAACTGTATAATTAGATAGGTACTGTTTGAGTTCACTGAATTCTAAACAAATTGATATGATTAATAGATATGCCCGTGTATCAATCTCTTAAGGAAGTTTCAGTATGATTTACCTTCTTGTGTTGCATCTGTTGCAACAAACAAAGATTTTAATTGGAGTTCATCTAATTTATTTTTTAACTGAGAAGCAGCAGACTGTATTGTTGGCACTGTTGAAGGGCGACCAATTAAAAAATCGCGTCTTCTTAAATGGACTGATAAATAAGGTCCTCCAACTGCATTCCTTATACCCTATAATTAGAAAAAGGTTGTATTTTATAATTTAAATCTTTTTATTAATTTAAGTGAAATTAGATACTTTTTCTTTAGTCCAGTCATCTGGTCGTTCAGTCTTATCATGCTCATTTGTTGAGTTAAGGAAAGTTTTTCTATATTCATTAGCAATATTATATAGTTCAGAATTATATCGCATACTACGTCTAGCTTTCCAATATTCTTTTGTACCATAAAAGTCATGTAATGCAATCTCCATGTGATCAAACATTATAGACCTATCATAATAATTAAATTAGTTGTAAAAGATATTGTACGTGACATTTTAGTATTGTTAAACAAATTTTATATTTTCTTACCTATAAACATTAGGTTTCAGATTTTGTTTAAGATCAGATGTCATACCATGAAATTTAATACACTTAACAACTTTAGAAGTTATATTATGATATCCCCAAAAATATCCAATATATTTTTCTGATTCTACTTTATGAAATTGTAATGATTTATCATCACATTCTATTATTTCATTTTTATCTTCAAATTTACCTGTCCTGAACATTTCTTCGTCGTTTTGTAAAATATATACAACATCAAGATGTGTTTCATTATTTTCCGAAGGATATTCTGAAAATGCAAATCTCTATTGATTATATTGTTCATAATAAATAAATGAAATTTTATACCTTGTAAAAACTGACATATTTCAATAACTGGTATATATTTTTGTAAACTTGAAATGTCAAAAAACAGACTCCAAGGCAATTGTGTTTGATATCCTATGTGTTTACTACGCCAATGATACAAATCACCTGTAAAAATAGAATAAAAATAAAATGATGCAAAAACTACTTGTACATTATAAAATTACCCCATGGTGGCAAAACTAATTGCCATTTAAAATCTTTTTCTTGCTTGATTAAATTTTTTATAAAAACTGCAACACGAATAAAAACGTCCCTTCTTAAGTTAAATCCTTCCGGAGGATTAACATCGTAGAGTATATAACTGAAAAATCATTATCTATGTAAAAAATATTAATTTTAAGGCGATATATATATATATATATATATACAATAAAGAAGTAAGCTCAGACCGATTTTGCGAGTAACGTGATTGAACGCTGCATTTATTGTTAGTTTCTCCATGTTCATCTGGTATATCACAAAATTCATTTGCAACGATATTTTGTGTAAAATTAATCAAAAGTAATATAAAATACAATACTCTTAAAAATAACAACATATTTTACATTTTAAGGTTATATTTTACATGTTACGATAGGTCAAGAACACTTCGAACATTTCCGGAGTAATATAAGAAATATTTTGTATTGTATAATGAGTTTTAATAAAATATATAATAAATAAATTTGTATTCAATTTTTATCCTTTTTCAAAAAAACATTTGCTTTCTAAAGAATGAGATTAAGGATAGTAAAAAAACAACAGCAATAACAACAACATTGTACAGCTTGATTTTTGTTATACACGAATTACAGACTTAAATCTCCCTTATTCCAAAATGGTTGTTGATGGGTAGATTACAATTTGCTAATTCAATTGATAATAATTATAATAATGATAATAATAATTATTATTTATCGTCTTATACAATATTTATAATTCATAGTTCAGTTAACATAGTTTCTGCCCCCTTATACAAGTAGGGCTGTTATGTTACATTTACTGTGACTCATTTCCCATACTTTTTCATTTATCCTATTAAAGTATACACTTAGCATATAAAAATTACAAGGACAATTTATATTGGTAATGGTAGTAGCTGTAGTTGTAGTAATAGTTATGATAGTGGTAGCAGTAATGGTAGTTGTAGTAATAGTAATAATTATAGTAGTAGCACTAGCAGCAGTAATGGTAGCAATAATAATATTATCATTATAATTATTTATGCGATAACTATGCTCTGTTATCGTCCCCATTTTCCATGATTTTTTTTTAGTACTTTTCACACGCGCGTATACTTGTATTATGAAATCTCAGATCCAATTCTTGGTTGCTTAAGACTCCAAGTGTACTGTGGGCACAGAAAGTTATCCACTGTCCCTGTCAAAATTTGTGCCTCGTTGTGATTCTTTTTAAATGTGTGCTGTTTTATAGTTTCTTGTCACATTCTGTTAGCAATGACATTAACTGGTAGTAGAATTCTTAGTCTGCAAACATTGGTACATATCATAATACTGAATTGTCATTATAATAAATATAACACGAAATTCATTTCTATTATACTAATTCCCCTCTTGTTTTGCATCTCCATATGAATTCTCTATTGTTAACATCACAGCTAAAAAGTTGCTTTATGTTAACAGGAAACACACTATTTTACATTCGATATAAGAAACGTGAAGTAGTACATGATATTTAAAACTTTTAAAAAGAAAAAAAGGGCAAATGGTTTATGCATTAATCGCACAGTGCACTCATTCAGATATATGGTATTATTTGAATAGTCCATCACTTTTTTCACACGCACACTTCATATTTGCCACAGTTTTATACATATATGTATATATACACACGTATATACATGTGCGTTTATGTATATATATGTATATTTATGTTTGAAATGATATTTAAATTTCTAGCAAACATTTTAAGTTTCATTATTTGCAATAATGAAATAACATAATGTCTAATATTTGTTTTCTATTTATTTTTCAAAAAAATTAAAAATATCTTAAAGAAATAAATAATCATGTAAAGTGATTTGTAAATGCTAGAAACAATATTCCTTTATACTTTTCAAGTATAAAATTATTCTGAATATAGAATATATAACTTAAGTAAATAAAAATTCCATGATAAACGAATAAGTACAAATTTCATAAAAAACTGATTTATAAGAACAATATAAAGTTTAACTAATCATTTTAGCGACCATCTTCTGATAATAATTAAAAAATTTATTTCTTTGTGCACTGTGTACCATACTATACATACATATATATAAAACACACACAAATATATGTATGTATAGTATTATACTACTTCACATTTAGAAATATTTCTGACGATTACCTGCTTACTAGCACAATTGAAAATTTTTATGCTGGCACAATTACCTGAGAGTCCAGGTAAAATAGTCAGATATAAATAAAAATCAGTATAATTACATATTGATGATTTATGCACTTGTACAGAATCATCGCATACAAGACAAACATTTTTAAATGATCTACAAATCTCTTGGGTTTTGATTTATCTTGTAGTTGATGCTTCTGACAAAAATGTTACATAAACCAAATATTTTCTATTCATTTAAAATGGGCCCAACCCATGCACTTGTTGCACACACAATTTTTTACTTTGATCGATTTCCTTTGCTCCTGAATAAATTTATTTGAAATATTTGTTGTATATTTATTACTGGGTTGGCAACTAAGTGATTGCGGATTTTGTCATTAGGAGGTATTGACAAAATCGGCAATCACTTAATTGCCAACCCAATATTATTCTTTCCAAATTACTGCAGCAATCTAATCTAAAAATTCCATCATATAGATATATTCCAACAAAATTTACTATAATATTCATTCAGAAGTAAAGTAATTGGATATTTAATAGCGATTTAACATTTGTTATTATTAGGATTGTAGTATATTTACCTGCATTGGGCTTTGCAATAAAATGTTAAAAAAATTACAGGGATGTTAATAAATAATTCGTATATACACAGGGAAAGATATATACACATACACACTCACACACGTACGCACGCGCTGACATATGTACAATAACTAGCATTAACACACACAAACATATGTCATACAAAAATCCAGAATAACGTTAAACTTGTTCTTCCGGCAGTTCGGCCGAATTGAGCATACAAAAAGAGTGTACGAAAGAAAAGATACATTGTGAAATAACACATAATACAGACTGTTACATCACAATATTACATATGTTTTACGTGCATGTTTTTACCATGTATTAGCATATATATTTCGTCTAAGAACCAAAAATGAATTATACAGAAGAACAATATTTCATTTAATGTAATTTCATTTTCTCTATACTTTTTACAATCTTGTGATATGTGTAAACTGATAATAAAGAAACTTAAATATTATAAGTGTCTTTCTTTAGGTATTGATAATTTGCTATACAACACATAAAGCTGTTACATTTAAACAAAACAGTTTGCTCAGCATTGCTGAAGACAATATTTAATATTCATTGTTTTGCTTCTTCATCAGCATGTACACTCTAAAAGGGTATAATACATATCCTTTTATGGGCATAAATTTGTACCGAATAGAAGAAATTCGAAAGCAAAACAAATCCTAAGTTTAAGCAGTTGTTCATTATTTTTTGGTAAAAACATTACGTATATAGTAGATGCTATTAGTTTTGCTTATTCAAGCTCTATTCGATACCGAGCAGTCGGAGGCTGGATTCAGGCGAAATTTTTTCGTATCTATGTATATATTTATAGTTAAATACATAGAAGGCGGCAAAGCTGCTACATATCGAGTCATGATTTACATATATGCGATTATGAATGTGGCTGCTTTTTGGAAGGTTTGCTTTTATTTCTTTTCCTTGGAATGTCCATTGACACTATTAACTAGCGTACATTAAAAATAAGTTCAGTCATTTACACATACTGCAGACACTTCCGAAAGGGAGAGACGGCCATTCTGTTTCACAAAGTGACTCAGTTTTGTATATCTATTCATTTGTACAAATTAGTTCTGTACAATCGTGTAGCATTACATTAGGATTAAAAAAGGGTATACATTGTAATACTATTGTAGAAATGTTTTACCTCAAATAAACTTTTCTACTAGTATTTTGGAGATTGTTCAGTGTAACTAAAATAACTAAACGCGTGTGCAGTTCCGAATTATTAATCGTTGTTTTTTTCTATATCCCGATAATCAGTTTTCTTTAATAACTAAATAATATAATTTGCATGTGCAAACGTTTTTACTACGACGAGTTATCTTTCAACACAATATCAACAAGAAGTTCGGACTTAACATCCCCCGAAAGGAATTAACCGACGATTAAAAATCATAGGACCAGTTATTAAAACATTTATATAAAAAAACAGGAGCGTACCACCTTGTCTCAGTATTGAGGTAGCGTAACGTTGCTTTGGCTTAGCGAGTCTTTCTGATTATCTAGAAATATTTCAACTGATCGGTGGTACTTAGAAAAGAAAAAGATTTCTACACGCTGAAGAATGAGACTGTACATTATGATCTTTACATGTAAGACATATTTTGATCTTCCTACTGCGTACATATATGTCAAGTGTCAACGTTACATTCTTGTACACACGTGTACGACTGTGCAATCATCGTACTGCATTGTAATTTCTTTGGTAGAAACTATTTGGTACGTATGCGCCCATTCGGAAGGTCGTGCAGAGCAATGAAGTTACAACGAATGAACAGCTCGCAGGGGGTAGTTCACAGGGAAACAAACATCAACAACGATTCCTCAAGTATCAACAACATTAACAACATCCCATTATAACTTATCATCATTATTGTGATCGTCTCTATCATGACCAGTTTTATCATTACAGTCACTGTCGTAATCTCAGTCTTTCGCCACACCTTCAGCCTGATAACATTTTGTAATGAGTAATTATAATTATCATCGCAATCATTGTCTTCAGCAACATCGTCATTACTGTTAAATAATATTTATGGCCATTGTTAGTGTATTTTTTTGCTGTTCTTGTTATGGCCATTTCTTCTTTATTTCATTTTTTCTTTCTTTTACCTCGTGACTTTTTATTATATTTATAACGCTCTTCATCTTCGTGAATTCTTTCTCACTATCGATCGAGTCTACTAATAGTCATTCCTGGAACTTTGAAACAAGATGTTAAGAAATACTTGCAAATGAACTATCGACATGAAATTCTTTTCTTTGAATGAATAAAAAATGCTAGAGAGCCGAATGAGACATGATTTCCTTATGATTAAACAAAATAAAGATAGTATAACGATATACGTGACTGATCGATAGAGTTCATTATCAATTAAAGTTACAAAGTTCCTTAATTTTATAACACCTACTAACTTTGCGTACATGTACTTATACATTGCGCGATTATTTTGGTATAAAATGTCCGTTCCTTAGTTCACGATAAATAAAAAGCAGTTCCTTTAAACACGTCCATGCAACCGGTTGTCTGATAATTTTCTAATTACGATAGTTGCTTCGGTGTAATTCTTTAATATATTACGTGTTTATATGTGATCTACAAACATTTAAAATTCATCGAAATAACAGAGGAGGACAAGTATTCCAGCGCTCCTTCTGTATGAAGTAATATGTGTGTGTGTGTATATATATATATACATATATATATATAATATATATATATGTATATATTGTTTTATATATATATGGCTTA